AACATTATCAAGTTTTTTGCTCGTTGTTTCCTGTTTGTAATGTTAGCAATTTATTTTTAATACAAATTATTATGCGTTGAGTTTTATATTACTTAGACAGAAACGATGTCATATTTATGCATTTCCGTAATCCATCAAGTCATTAACAAAACTTCTGTGTAGTAGCGTAACAACAAGTTCATTCCTTTACACACAACAATTGTTGTTTTTGCTTTCTTTTTCAACAATTTTTTGTAAAATGATCATAATTAATGAAAAAATTGGAGTTGGCAAATAAATAAGCAATCAAAAGTAAAAAAAACCAAACAAAGTTTGTAAACCCACGTGATGGGATGAAACGCAAATTTACACGCTTGAATATTTTGCTGTGGATATTCGTGTCAAAATTTTCAAGTGAGATTTTGTAGTATTTTTTCCCACAACAGTCGTTAAAAAAATTCAGTAAATAAATTAGCTCCTATTTTAGTTTATATGGCAAGTCAAAGTAGATCACAAATAATCACACAGTGCACTGATGCAGATGTCTTCTTGATAACATTGTCACACTTTAATTTAGCTGATAAAAGCTAGCTGATTAGTGGATTCAACGAGTTAACTGCCTTCTTATCAATACAAAACTGATACTTTTCACTTCAAAAATTACGTTTATTGTGAAAACAACGATTTGTACCGAAAATTTCCCAGAAATCAACTTATTGGTACTGCACACAATGTGTTCAGAATGCAGCAAATTCACATACATAATTTCATGAAGAGTTAAAGCAAGTTCTTTACATAATGTAATCTGGAAAAAATTAGAAGATTTCAGTTCACTGAATGGACAGTTTTAGAGAATATGAATAAAAATTACACTTCACTGTACATACGATAAAAACTGTGGATTAAGTAAGCATAAATGAAGTGAACATTATGTGCACAAAAAACAAAGTTTTGTACAAATAATGCCAATTCGGTAGTTTATTTCTCCAATCAAAAGTTCAATAAGTATTATTTCAGCATAATTCGGGCTTACTTGATTCATACAATACGTGATCTCTGAATCAATATAATACTTTTTTATTGAAGTAAATAAAATTTTCAATCTGTCAATGCATTGCATTTAAAATTTTACAACGGAGGTCACGCAAAAGGCTGCGCAATAAATTTAATGAAAAAATTTTTTGGATACCATTCTCGAAAATAAAATGTGTGCTTCTACTTCTTTAAGTAATGGTTTTTGTATCGATTTCAGCATCAAATCATTTTAAGCAAAAATCGAAATGAAGCTCCTGCTAAATTTTAAGGTGTAATTACCAGTTACTGCTAGCTGTTAGTATTTTCATTGATACAGATTTTATTGCTTCTAAATAGTTTACTGGCCGTGATGGATTTCAAGACTGGCAGCCAAGAAACCATAAATTGCTTGCAAATCGAATTTATATAAAAATATAGCAGTTTTTTTAGCAGAAACTTGGCTGAGCAATCAGCACTCATGCATTATAATAAGTAAATAATGTTTTTAATTACATATGAAAATATATGGCGCTTTCATTTTCGAGATACAAATAGATGCTTTTACCAAAATGCTAATCACAGCAACTTTTTATATCCCTGAATACAATAATTTTTTATATTTATTGTCATTGAATACACCAATATATTTTGGTGTGTATAAAAATTTACAGAGCAAAGATGACAGGAAAAAATAGAAAAGATGAAAGTAAAAATGGTTATTCCAGCCATTTATGAAGATTCCAAGACCAGTTAGCAGTGAAATAGCAACTTAAAGGTTAAATTTTGGGGAAATGAACTTATTGTTTTTCGTATTCAATATATTATTCCTTGAGAATGATCAGATTAAGTTAAATTAAAAGGTAAGAAAGGTAAATTCAAAGTTTTCTTTCTCATTTACAAATGTAACTTTTAAGCAAAAATTATTTTTAGAAAGTTTTGTTTTACAGAGTGTGCAATGAGTAACATTTAAATAAAGAATGCTACGCTGAAATAAATTGCGCAGCAAAATAATAGAAATTTTTAAATCTAATATTACTATTTACTTTATTAGTAAGTAGTTATTCAAGTATTTAATTTTATTGCATGTTATTTGGTTTCATTTGTGTACAAAATGAAACAAAATAAAACTAAAATTTACAGACATTTATTTGATGCTAATTAGCTATTGTAATATGTGTTGGAAATTAAAAAATGATTTTATTGAATATGCATATTTTAGTAAAACAAATGATTTATTGAAAAGTTAGAGACAGAGAAAATGTATACTTGACGGCATTCGCCTTGCACCTTTGCGCAATTAGCTTTAATAGCAAAAAAGTATTTGTTTTCAAATTATTACTAATAATTGATATGGTGGGAATTTAATAGCTAAGTACTTTGTTTTCAACTTAAAATAGCATAAAATATATGCAAAATAAGCATTTAAAAATTCTGTTAATAGTCAAAATAAAGTAGTCAAAATTATGATTGGAATGGGTAATTTGAAGGTGCATAAGCTTTGAAAAATAATCAAGGATAACATTTCTAGTCAGTTATGACATAAGTAATATTATTTGTCCTACTTTGATGATTAAGCAATCAGCTGATTGAAGTCAGATATTTAATATCCAATAATCATTTTATGTTTTAAGATAATGGGAATATGTCTTTGTAAATTATCAAGCTTTGAGGCCAAAAATAGCAATAGAAAAGCCAAAATGGTTATTTGTTAATCAGCTTTATTCATCCACTCCATATTTAGTTCTTTTCACCACTTTAATTCATGGCATGTGCTTGATATAGTTCTATTTTTTATTTGCCTGAAATTTGTTGCCTGATTCTTTCGAATAAGATAAAAGCAAATTTTATAATCAACTGCATAACTTAAGAAGGATGAGGTAACTTCTGAAAAAGCTCTTTCTGACGTACTTCCCCTGCCAGCTGCTCTGCAGAATTTCGATTCTTCAAGTGAGTACTTCAGGGCGCAATCATCCTGCTGGTCCCTGGTTCCTGGTTCCTCCTGTACATTAGCAGAATGCCCTCTTAATCCTTCATGAAGCTTTTCACAACCTCATCATTTCATTTTTGCCTTGCCTTCTACTATAATTCTAAATATGGCTTGTCTCGTTCAACTTCCGTTTTCTTCTCAGACTTCTGATATCCTGTTTTTGTATTCTTATCAGTTTAGCTTTATTAAAATCATTTTAG